CAAAAAATTATTAATGTGAATTAAAGATGGAATAAGAAAGAAATGAATGATTACGTAAATTATATGTTTGGAGGGTTGAGTAATAATGTTTTAACCTTTTGTCGAAAGACAGGTAATGAAAATTCTTTATATACTTTAGAAAGGTCATTATAAATATTAGCAACATTGCAAGAAAAACTGCGTTTAAAAAGTGTAGACGTATGCAGGGGTATTCTTATATTATTTTCTCTGAGAGGTCTACAGTGAATATCATTATTAAATTTTCCCTCAAGTAATAAGGTTTAGACGTGAGCAGCAACTTGTGAACAGAAACTGAATAGTGATACTTGACCATGTCATTAATTTTTAACCAGTTTAGAACGGGATGTTTCGCTGATTCCTGATCAAATTTACGTAAGCCAGAGATGAAACGTATACAATAGAACTTGAATAACGTTTTTAGTGAAATTGTCTAAACAAGTATAGTATAAGATATTACAATAATTCAGTATAGATATGACCGATGCTTCTCATAGTTTTTTACGCAACTTAAAATTTAGTAAATATTGAGTTTCTTGAGCGCGTCAACTACAGTTCCTTTTTCAGTAATATTTGTCGGCAATAAATTCAGCTGTTCTTGAAATCTAGTGTTCTCGTTCACAAGTTGCTCAATCAATCTATCTTTTTCTATTAATAACTGACTGTATGAATTAACTTTTTCATATAATATTTTTATTTCCTGTTTTAGCTCCACATTTGTTGTTCTAAGGCACTTAATGTTTTTAGGTGATTCCGTTGGTGCATCACTTGGTTTGGTTACCACCATTTTAGCACTCTCAGACTAATCTGAAGCAATCTCAGCAGCTTTCCTTTTTTTCTTATTCATGGAGTACCCAGTATGGTCGTATCACTTTCTTGTATATAGTCCGTACCATGAATGTTGGCGTACACGTCATCATTTGTACATTTCCGAGCAAATAGTTTTGAAGTAGGCACTTTCTACCATAGGCGAATATCCATAGGCGTGCCCCCGGGAAGAGATTTTTAGTAGTAAAAATTTACTGTGTCAGGCGGCAAAAAGTATTTTCTGTATATTTCGAAAATATTTGCTGCACAAAACGGCAAGTCTTGATTTATTGTTATTTGAATGCGCGATTTAAGGAACATATTTCAATTTTGCAGGAAATGAAGAAAAACAGAATATTTTCTGAAAAAGCATAACATTGAGAAAAATATTGAAATTTCAGTTTTAAGTTCTAAAATTAAACATACTCGAACATATAAGGTAATTAATAGATTTTTTTATTTGTACTGGTAGATAGCGTATATCACACAACAATTCCTTCAAGCTTTCATAGGTAGATTTGACCGAAATAAATATCGCTGTCTTAAAAATCTTCATCTGAACTGCTGTCGTCTCCATTGATTGTAATAATCACTTCTGGCACATTATCCAGGATTCGTTGTCTGTTATACCATGCATCTATAACTCCCTCCGTGTGTGTGACAACAGAGGCCCATCTTTCAGGAGTACAGTTTTCCAATGCCTTCTGCCACATGCCTAGCACTTTGTCAGCGCCATAACCTTCCTCGCCTATATGGGTATCATAATATTGTTTTGCCTGTGCCCATATCAGTTCGATGGCATTGAACTGGCAGTGGTATGGCGGTAGTCGCAGTACCTCATGCCTATGTTCTCGTAGGTATTCATCAACAACAAATCTTGCAGGCCGAGCATGTTGCTTGGCCAATTTTAAGAGTTCACTTTTAAATTGGTTCCTCTCAAAATTAATGTTGTTTCCCTCCAACCACTGTGTGACCTGGGCTTTTGTCCAAGATGATATTGGCTGCTTCTCCACTAATACACTGTGGTAGGAAGCATTATCCATAACAATGAGGCATGGCTCCTCCAAATTTGGAACCAGCTTCTCTTTGACCCACTTCAAAAATATATCGCCATTCATGTCTCCATGATAATCTGCCAGTTTTGAGGCAGTGCCATAGATGAGTGAAGCATTCTCCACGAACCCCCTACTGTGACCAGCATGTAATACAATATAGCGTTTGCCTTCAAATCCCCCAGGTTTTCGGGTCTCTTTTACGGATCGGTCCTGCCAGGATCTCTTCCTGTTCCCTTTTGCAAAAATCCATGTCACATCTAAGAAAACAACTGTGCGTTTAAAGGGGGAGTTTCCATTTTCATTATATTTGCGCAGAAATTAGGCTCTCAAAGCAACGACACTGCTTTTCTCCATAAGCGCCTTCCGGTTGTCTTCCTGTTTATATTGGAAGCCAATAAGCGGCACAATGACATCTTGCTTATGTCCACTATTTATTTGACGTCCAATTCTTCCTTTAATGTTTTGATAGTAACATGCCTCTCTGTAAGTATTAATACATAAATAAATCGTATTAATGGAGACTAAAATATGTACGTAGTCATGCCATAAGTTCTGTCCCTCGTTTTCAAACAAGTGTAGACCTGTTAATACTTGTCCGATTGTTTACATTGTGGTGTCAGTTGATTAAGCGCTTTTCGGGTAATTACATATACCTCAGTTTGTATTGATCTCTCGAAGCATAACGATGGAGTGGGGCAAGGCAGAGAACCGTATTGCAGTGATAGCTTTACATAAGTGTAATCACAGTGCTAGTCAGATTTTTGAACTCTTACGCGGCCTTCAAATATCGCGTAAATTTGTGTCTAGGACCATTCAGCGGTACAATGAGACGTCCTCTGTGGATGATAGGCCAAGAAGCGGAAGACCTCGTCAAGTAAGGACTCCAGCAGCCATCAAAGCCGTAAAAGCCAGGATTCAAAGGAATCCACTCCGGAAGCAGAAGATCCTATCCAGGGAAATGAAGATTCCTGTCCGGACGATGTCGCGCATCATTAAACAAGACCTAGGGCTAGGGGCTTACCGGAGACGTACGGGCCAGCGACTTACGGCCACCTTGCGACACATCAGGGCGACAAGATCCAAGAAGCTCTTGGAGAGGTACGCAGCTGGGGGATTCCGAAAGATTTTGTTCACGGATGAGAAAATCTTCACCATAGAAGAAAAATTCAACCGACAAAATGACAAAGTGTATGCAAGGAGTTCACATGAAGCTTCGGAGATCATTCCGAGAGTTGAGAGAGGCCACCACCCTGCGTCAGTCATGGTTTGGTGGGGGGTGTCCTACGAAGGGGTCACTCAGCTCCATTTCTGTAAACAGGGCGTGAAAACAAAAGCGGCAAACTATCAGAGCGACATACTGGATCCTATCGTCAAGCCTTTAAGTGGTACATTGTTTGCCAACCAACACTGGGTCTACCAGCAGGATTCCGCCCCCGCTCACAAGGCTAAGAGTACGCAGCGCTGGCTGGAAAGCAATGTGCCAGAGTTCATTGCTGCGGAAGATTGGCCCTCAGGGAGTCCGGACCTCAATCCTTTAGACTACAAGTTGTGGGACCTGCTAGAGCAGTTGGCCTGCTCCAAAGCCCACCGTAATATCGAGTCCCTGAAAGCGGATTTGATCCGATCAGCGGCAGCTATTCCTTTGGAAGCTGTGCGTGCAGTGATAGATGAGTGGCCCGCGAGATTGAAGCAGTGTGTGAAGGCCAAGGGGGGACATTTTGAATAAAACTGTTTGATTATGAATTCTAAAAATGTTGTCGAATAAATAATATCTTTCATATAAATATATCTTATCTTGTTTCATTTTTATCATGAGATTATCATGGGACAGAACTTATGGCACGACTATGTACTTTCTGAGTACATGTTGTAAATTGCATTTTTCACTTCCGTCTTCATAGCGTCTGGTAAGTCTGCTGTTTTTGTTTTTTCCCGGGGCTTATATTTTTTTTGTTTTTTAGGCAGCTTGATCTTCCTGGTCTACGGGCTTTCGGTTTTCTTTTGATTCCCTGAAAATACGTGACACCGTCCGCATACCGCCCATTGCGTGGGAAACACGCTGAAAATTTAATTTATTTATTTTATGATTTATTAGACTTCGTATAATGTCACATGTATTAGTGATAGGCATGTGAATAAACTTTTAGGTACTGTCGATGGTGAAAAAACCCTACAACTTTTTTTTCAACGTTCGAGAGTTCGAGACGTTCGACAGTTAAGCTTCGAGAAACCAGAGTTATTCATTGTCTGTCTTGATAGTTTTCTCTCCATTTGAAAATGTAATATAAGATATAAAAATTAAAGAATAATATAATTTTTTAATACATGTGTAACATAACAAGAAAAACATGACGCAAGGAGAAAAAACAACGTGAAACTTTTTCAAAAATCAACCGCGCAGGTCTGAACCTTTGCTATACAAACCGTACGCTCATGATCGTCGCTGTCACCGTGACTTACGATATAGTGCGACCTACCTAATAATACCGTCTTTGTCTAACACATTGCTGCGTAAGCGGCAACGCTCCCAACTTCTGTCGTAGCACCAGAAAACATATGTTATTGTTATCCAGTACGGTCGTGCTCACTCGTTAAAAGGAGATGGCAGAAAATCTGCCAGTCGTGGATAAATGCATCAAGTGATGACGTGTATGCCAATATTCATGGTACGGACTATATAGTCGAAATCACGAAAGATGACGATTACGTCATCATTTTATTCTGTAGTAAAGACAAACGACAGCCATTTGTGAATATTTTTAAATGAAGGTTCATATGTGTTAGACAGAGACAAACAAAATTTTATTGTCTAAACAAGTAGTATTGCTGAATTGCATGTATCCGATAAAGACAGACGATTTTTGCATGTTTCATGATCGATCACATTTGAAAGATGACAAGTGAGGTTATGCCATGTCAGCGTGTTCACAGTTCGTTGCAGGTTAGGTTGTTTTCGAACAATACTTTGGTCGTTGGTGTTCCTGTCTTGAGGTGTATTCTGTTGTGTGTATAACTGTTTTTTTCAAAACAAAAACTCCTCATAAAAATTATTATTATGGTAGAAACTAAATAATTTCCAACATAAGAGCATCATTTAAGACTTTAATTCTGGTTTTCGCTATGAAAGGCAAAACTCTCAGCTCTCAATCACAGGGCTTGGTACTATCCTTGCTGAATTATTTTCAACAAGAAAAGGATAATGGAGGGCCTCTATTACCATTGATAGCTGTCCAAGAGGTTTGTAATAGAAATATGGTCATATGATTGACAATTTATTCTATATTATTTTTCAGAGGGTGGCTCAGGCACTAAGTATCAGTTTGTCCACTATTACCAGAATACAGCGCCGTTTATAATCTAAAGCTGGATCCAGACCAAACGCGCTGCTCCGCGCCGCGCCGTTCAAATCAGTTCAGAGCGGCGCAGCGCTTTTGGTTTGTACGACAACCCGCGCAGATTCGCGCCGATTTGCGCTGCTCTGAACAAGCGCGAACGCGATCCGGCAGTTGTCGGTACATCAAAGAAAAACATATGTTTGTGCTTGTTTGGTTTGGACGTGAAAACGTACGCTGGTCATTTAATTAGGTGTTTATGAAGTTTTGCAAACATTTTTTGAAGTGAAATAAAAAATGAGTGCTTCAATTGAATGGACACATGGGGCTATTGAAAAATTGATAGACCTATATCGCCAAAAACCAGAATTGTGGGATCCCAAAGATAACACATATCACATTAAAACTAAAAAGCATGATGCTTGGACCAACATTTATTTGGACATGGGAATCGATGTTGATGCTGTTAAATCTAAAATTACTTCATTATTGTCTTCATATAGAAGAGAAAAAGGGAAAATGAAAAAATCGACCGGCACTGAAAAAGGTAGGAGTAAATAGCTAGCTTTAATACTCTCTATGCTGTGCTCCCTATACTAAAGACGCACACTATATCTTGTAAACACTTTTAGGGCGGGAAGATATTTACATCTCAAATTGGTTTGCATTCAAGTTTTTTCATTTTTTGTCAGAAAAGGACATACCAAAGGACACTCTTAACACAGAAGAAGTAAGTAAAAACAAATATTTTTTTTATGATTATGATTTATTTATTTAAGCACTGTCATTTTGCCAAGGTATACGCCCGTTTGTAAAAAAATATTCGGCAAATTCTTCTCGTATTTCTTGAGCATTTGATGGACTTTTCCTTGGTATTTTTTTTAACCTGCACATTGAGGTTTGGTTTACATCATCCCTCCGCCAGCTTCCAGTAACAACTGTCCCATCATTTAGCTCACTATCAAAAGTTCTTGCAGGTGTATAGGTATTTCTCGAATTTTTATTTTTTCTTAAGTAATTGTGTAGATAAATAGTCGTCAGTACTACATCTCTAGCCTTGTTAGGTTCAAGGAGCATGGGTTTTCTCAAAACTCTAAATACTGTGCTAAGTATTCCAAACGCATTTTCTGAAACTCGCCGTGCTCTTGACAATCGATAATTGAAGATCCTTTCTTTCGATCCTTTTTCATAAAGACCAGAATAGGGTTTCATTACATGTTCATGTAGAGCAAATGCTTCGTCACCCAGTATGACGTAGGGGATACGTTTTTCCCGCCCACGAAGCTCTTTTGATTCTGGCAAACTCAGACTGTTTTCTTGTATTTTCTTCCATATTAGACTATGTTTAAATATTCCTCCATCCGATATACGACCCTGAGTACCCACATCAGCGAAAATAAAATTATAATTCGCATCCACGAGTGCAAATAGCACAATGCTAAAATATGACTTATAATTGTAATATTCGCTGCCACTATTTATGGGTGCTTGTAACATCACATGCTTCCCATCCATAGCGGCTACGCAATGCGGGTAATTCCAATGCTCCTCAAATTCTTTAGCACATTGTAGCCACCCTTCTGTAGTATTTGGCATCTGGAAAAAAAATAAATAAAAATATTTTCTTTATTTGCAGATATACTCTGAAGAAAATTCGCAAGATAATTTGCAACCTTCTGTTGATGATACCAATGATCAAAGTGAACTACAAAGTGAAAAACAAAGTACTGAGCAACCTATTGAAAATGTCATTAAATCCTCCTGTCAAAGCAATGGAACAAATACAATAGCCAAACGAAAGATATTTGTCTACCCAAAGGAAAATCCTAAACGTAAAATGGTAACAGAAGACCGTAGATTGAGTAAAGCATATGACATCATCGATAGCATTTCAAGCGAACCTGCGTCCAGTCGCGATGAATGCTCAGTATATGGAGAGCATGTCGCTAATAAGCTACGAAAATTAAATGAAAGAAGTAGAGCTATCCTTATCCATAAAATCAATAACGCCTCAATATGACACAGCACAAAGTTTTCTTTCAAATTTTAGTGTATAGAAAGAATTTTAAATAAAGGGGACTTACCTGAACTTGGTGTTTTAATGCTTCATTAAGAGCCCGGCAAACTTCAATAACTATAGTTGAAATACTTTGTTTAGATATTTTGAAAAGGTACATTAAACTGGCGAATGAATCTCCCGTGGCCAGGAAGCGTAGAGTTACAGCTAATCTTTCTTTGGGAGAAATAGATTCCCTGTAGTTTGTATCCTTCTTTCGTATTACAGGCTCAATCAAATTTAATAATATTTCAAAATCCGCAGACGACATACGGCAAAAATTTTCGAATTGTCCGATATCACCAATGAACATGTCACTTAATAGATTTGTTCCACTATAAACTGATCTATTTTTAAGCATCGGTGTTACCCAATGTCGTCGTTTTCTATTTTGGCTTTTTTGTTTTAAATTTTGATTAATAATAATAATAGCAGCAGCAATTTTTACTTTTTTGGAATACTCCATGTTAATTCAAAACGCGCGCGAGCCAGTTGGAACAATGACGAACCAAAAATTTTCTTTACGCTGCTCTGCGCCGCTCTGCATCGAATTTACTTAGTGACGCGCGGTGTTTTTCGGCGCGGAACAGCGCAGAGCAGCGCGCTTGGTCTGGATCCAGCTTAATGATAATGTCCTAAGATCACCTGGAAAGAAGAGACCCAGAAAAAAGTCTAAGACAACAGATTTATCTGATGCAGTCAGGCATAATATACGAGATACAGTGTATCAAATGTATACTGAAAGTAATGATAATGAGCGTGAGATGGTACATTCCAAATTATTGATTTTTTGTTTTGTTTCAGAGAAACATGTCACAATAGCAAATTTGAATAAAACGCTTAAAGAGAAAGAGTTTTTTTTTTTAATAAATATGTAATTTTATTGCAAATAGAAGTCTTAAAATGTAAATTTGTGCACGGATAATGATAATTTAAAATCATGAAATAGAATAAATAAAAATAATCACTGAAATCATCTAACTTCGATCACATGTTCCTGACATCGTAACCTTATCATCGACGTACGTCCGGTAATTATTTCGTTACAATTTATGGTATGACGTAATCGTCATCTTTCGTGATTTCGACTATATGTATATGAGCAGTGCGTTAATAGAACAGCAGGAATATTTAATGAGCGACATGAGAACAGTAACGTGCATCGAAAATATGCTCTAGAACTTGTAGGTAAATTTCGGGAAACTGGGTCAGTCGCCAATAAAAAACGCAACATTGAAAATCCCATAAGGAACGAAGCAATAAAAGTGGGGGTTTTAGGGCAAGTTTATGTAGATCCTACGTAAAGTACCCGCAAATTGGAGACTGTTTGTGGTGTTAGTCGACGTACTGTCCAACGGATTCTAAAGGCCCATAGTTTTCATCCGTATAAAATTCACCTGGTACAAAAACTTGATGAAGACGATTTTGATCGGCGATTACAATTTTGTGAAGATACGAGTGAACGAATTATAAACGATGAACATTTTCTATTCAACTCTTGCTTTTTCACGAATGGTCCTTTTTCTTAAATGGCGTAGTAAATCGTCATAACTGCCGATATTGGTACGATTCTAATCCCAGAATTTATCATGAGGTTCATACACAGCAGCCACAAAAATTAAATGTTTGGGCTGGTATTTTTGGCGATCATTTAGTTGGTCCTTTTTTCTTACCTGGAAATTTAACCGGTGAAATGTATTAGGAATTACTGGAAGACGCCATAGATCCTGCATTAACAGCCATAATTGAAAATCACAATGATCAGCGGTACATTGCGAATAGGTTGATGTTCCAACAGAATGGTGCCCCACCACATTACGCATTACGTGTTCGACAATATTTAGATCAGACGTTTCCAGATCGATGGACTGGTAGAAGAGGTGCCATTGAATGGCCCCCAAGATCGCCAGATTTATCACCTTTGGATTTCTTTATTTGGGGTCATTTAGAAAGTAAAATCTATGCTACTCAGCCAACATCATTAGAAGACCTGCGACAAAGAATTGTGTATGAGTGCCTTCAAATTACTCTACAAATATTGCAAAATGTGCGGCAACGTTTTGAGCAAAATCTTTATTATTGCATGGAGAGTCATTGTGGCCATTTTTAACATTTACTTGCCTAACGGGTCAGTTCATTCTTCATTTTTAAATTACTTTGCTGCCAAATGTATTGATCTCCACTAATGATGTATTAGTTTCATTTAAGCTTTAAATCAATAAATCTGCAAAACTACCGAACTGAAGTACATAAATTTTATATGATTATAAAGGGAATTGAAAGACCTTTAAAATAAAGTATCACTCGACAGCCCTTTCCATTTAAGATTTTGGGGGTGGTGTCACCCCCGCTTAGGGGGCTGCACGTGCTAACGTGATTTTTTGCCAAACTTGTGTACCCCTTGAAAAAAAATCGACGGGTCTGAGTGTTTCTCAAAAAAAAACTGAGCTGCCAGTAAATGCGTCTGTTTCGTTTTCGTTGCGCCACCCTGTATACTTAAAACCCAGGTTAACAGTGCTGTTACTAATAACCAGAAAAGATCTCTCAATACCATCTACCGGTTAACCAGTTGGTTGTAATGAAACCGAAATACGTAATCTTTTTTGTTTGATAGTAACATGAGTTGTAACTGATGATACGAGACACAAACGTCTAAGTCGAAGAAGCAGCGTTGCCAGATCAATAGCTACGTGTTGGTTAAGCATAACTAAAATAACGAATTTCCGGCAACTGATAGATTCCAAACTACCAAGTTATACTTACAAAACTGTAATACCATCAAACAAAGATCTTACAGAACTTAGGATCTTTGAGCCCCTGAAAAAAATGTATCAACGACTTGAAATGATAAAATATCCTAGATATATCTAAGGGCAGTTGAGCCTTCCAACTACGCCCTAAAAATGCATGATTGAAAAAGAGGTGCTGGAATTACACAGTTACAAGAAAAAAGATAGACGGATAGACAGCCGGACAAAATGGGTGACATCGAGTTTCATGGTGTGTACAGTTAGTAAAACGTCTAAAAACCAATTAGGTATTACAATTTTTAAAAAACTCACGCTAAGAAAACCACCGAGACACTTCAAAAGATTTGTCAAGGGGGACAACTTTGAACCAAAAACTGCTTCACTCCCTTTCACCCTCTGCCCCCCAGAGTGATCCCCTCAAAAATGTCAAATGACAAGGGTATCGAGTAACAACTTGTTTGAAAGGTCTTTCGGAATTGACGTTTGATTTTTTAAAATCGGTCAATTCGTTTTCAAGAAAATTAGAAAAATTTTTATTTATCTTATTGCTCAGATATAAAACAAAAACACAAAACCACTTTTTATTTAAATAAGTGTTCAAAATGTTACCCGTTATTGGCCAAACAATGATATAGGCGATGTTCAAATTCTTGATGGACATTTTCAAAAACATGTTGTGGGATATCATGGCAGCTTTCGATAATGCGTTGACAAAGTTTATACAAGATTTCAGGGGAGTAAACACAATAGATTTCAAATGGCCCCACAGAAAAAAGTCAGGAGAAAAATCAGGAGATCTAGCAGGCCATTCTATAGGCCCTTTTCGCCCTATCCATTTATCTGGAAACTCATCGTCTAGCCATTGCCGAACCGGAAGAATAGCGCCGTCTTGCTGGAAATATATTTCAGTCTCATCAAGTATAGAGTTTCATTCCTCTTCAATATGGTTTTCAATGGTTTCAGTGATAAGCGAATTGATGGTATTTTCCAACATATCCAAGTAAATGTCTCCATTAGAACTACCATTAATAAACAATGGCCCAATCACTTTGTTTCTTAAAATGCCTGCCCATGCATTAATTTTTTGGGGGCACTGGTCATTTGTTCACAAAACTCAACTCGCCTATCGAAATCATCTTCGGTTAACTCTTGCAATATTTTCATTTTGAATGGATTAAATTTATGAAGTTTAGTAGCTCTGTGTACAGAGCCTAATGAAATACCAGTCGCAGCAACAATTTTGCATAATGAAGTATTAGGATTTAGTCCAAAGTGACCCAAAACTTCAACTTGAGCGGCTTCACCCAAAACTTTCCGATGATCACGTTCTTTATTTGCCACAGATCCAGTTTGTGTAAATTTAGTAACAAGGTTCAAAACATACTTATGCGAAGTTATCTTCCCTGGATGTCTGGCGTTAAACAAGGTGGCAGATTGCCGATTGCCAGGATACCTGTGTTGATGAAAAGAATGCAGAAAAAAATTCGGGTTCTTATTTAGTTGTTGCCACGTCTAATCTTCCGAATTGCTGTTTATGTTGGTCGTTTCCGTTTTAAATTATAAACGAATTGTATTTTTGTTTTATATCAAATTAAGATAAATAAAGATTTTTTTAATTGTCGCGAAAACGAATCGACTGATTTTAAAAAATCAAACGTCAAGATAAAGAACTTTGAAAGACTTTTCAAACAAGCTACTACTCGATACTCCTCATCATTCAAAAGTTTTGAAAGGAGGTGAAGTAGTTTTTGGTTAAAAAGTTGTCCTCCTTGACGAATCTTTTGATGTGTCTCGCCGTTATTTCTTTTAATCAGTGGTTTCCGATAAATCCATGGTGGGAAGGTTTCAAATGAACACTTTGTGTATCAGAATTCGTTGACTATTGAAGGTGATGTAGCTTTCGTATAGTATTTGCTTCTGTAGCAACGCGGTTATTAAAAAATAAGCGCGTTCAGACGACCAAGTACCTGCATTCCTAAGCAGACTCTATGAAAAGGATCGAATATTTCAAAATCGCCCTTTTCTACGTTTATCTGCACTTAAAGTCAGCTCTCATCCCCAACATGACTTTTCATAAAAATTCAAAATATCATCGCAGTGCAGGTATAAAAGGGCGCTTTAAAAAATAAATCTAAAATTATTTGTGTGTATGAATAATCTATTGTAATGTCTTGCCGAATAATGGGATAACGTCGAAGAAGGCTGTGGGATCAT